GACTATAGGCACCAGTCATAACACTCAGCTATTTTTTTTGTTGCAGTTTGGCTGGGGCTGGGTTCAAACCCGCCACCCTCAGCATATGGGGCCAGTGCCCTACTCACTGAGCCCCAGGTACCACCTTTATTTGTGGTTCTTATCTCTCTCTCTTTTTTTTTTTTTATTAACATTTAACTTTAACGTTTCACACTTTATATAGTCTACATAGTTATTTATGTAGCTATCATTCCTATTCATGATTTTCAACTGTTATCCTGTGTCAATTTTTAAATCTCTATTTCTATTTCAACACCTCCTTTTTTAAAAATTCCAGGCTCATTTCTCAGATACTTGGTATACATATCTTTACCTGGCTCTTCCACAGATACCTGAAATATGCCATGTCCAAGATAGAGCTTATTATCTTCATCTTATCCACAACTTACGCTTTTTGCACTCACTGCCTTGGATTTAAACTAAATTGTTTTAAACTAAAAAATTGAGAGCCACGTTCTCCAATGTATTCTTCTATCAATATAGTCTCAGTTCCCTAGCCCTGGGGATTTCTGCTTCCTCTTCTTCCGTCTTTTCCATCACTACTATTGCTTTCTTCATTAGATATTGATCATATCTTTACTGTCAGTGTGTCATATTTCCCTGTTTCTAGTGTGTCCACCCCCTTATTCAGAGATTCATCTTTCTCATACACAAGTCTGATTTTTATATTTCTCATAATTCTTCTCTGTCTCCTTTTTTCCTGTAAAGTAAAATGTAAACTTTTAGTGTGGGCTATGAGGCTATTTAAAATGTAGCTCCTACCTCCATTTTTGCCTTATGGTACTGGTCATCTTTTGTGAGGAATAGCATACTTTTTAATGTATAGTTTTACACTTGCTGTTTCTTTGGTATGAAATGCCTTTCCTTGGAAATGCCATGCTTGCTTGTCAAGCTCTAGTCCTTTCAAGAGATAGTTCAAAAATCATGTTTGTAAAACCTTTCTTGGGCAGTGCCTGTGGCTCAAAGGACTAGGGCACTGGCCCTATATGCCAGAGGTGGCGGGTTCAAACCCAGACCCTGCCAAAAACTGAAAAAAAAAAAAAGAAGCCCTTTCCTGACTTTGGATTCCCTAGTAAGGTTGAGCACCCCCTTTACTTTAATGTTTCTATCATTCATTCATTCATACACATGTGTTATAAGCTTCTCCCATTATACCTCTTATCACATTGTATTATAATTGTTTTTTACATGTGTCTTCTCACTAACTTGTAAACTTCTTGAAGGAAGGGACTATATCTTTTTTTTTTCCCCATGTAGTTATTTATTTATTTATTTATTTTTGAGGCAGAGTCTCACTGTTGCCCAGGCTAGAGTGCAGTGGCGTCATCATAGCTTGCTGCAGCCTCAAAACTCCTGGATTCACACAGTCCTCCTGCCTCATCCGTCCAAGGAGCTGGGACTACAAGTTTTTTTTTTGTTTGTTTGTTTTTTGGTTATTTGTTTGTTTTTTAAAGATGGGGTCTCTCTGTTGTTCAGACTGGAGCACATGAGTGCAGTCTTAGCTTACTGCCACCTTGGAATGTTTGGGCTCAGGTGATCCTCCTGCCTCAGCCTCTTAAGCAGCTGGGATTATAGCTGTGTACCACCATGCCTGGCTTTATTTGTTTATTTAGTTTTTGAGATGTAATTTATATACTGCAAATTATTCTGCTTGATGGATTCTTTTCTTGTAAAACCATCAAACAGATCAACTTATAGAACTTGAGTATCAAAAGGCTCCCTCCTTTCCTGTATCAGTCAATAACTATCCTGAGTTTTTTTCCCTATTTTTGATTCCCACTTTTCTTAAGAACATATAATTAGCTCCCACACATGTCAGACTTTGTTCTAGTTAAATGCAGGGAAACTCTGTAAGGTAGAGATTATTATCCTCATTTTATAGGCACAGAGAAATTAAATAGCTTAGTGAAAATCTCACAGTTACTGAAAGAGCTCTGATTTGAACCCTGGCAATCTGGCTGTGGAGTCCACATTTTTTTTTTTTGAAACAGAGCCTCAAGCTGTCCCCTGGGTAGAGTGCTGTGGCATCACAGCTCACAGCACCCTCCAACTCCTGGGCTCAAGCGAGTCTCCTGCCTCAGCCTCCCTAGTAGGTGGGACCATAGGCACCCGCCACAATGCCCAGCTATTTTTTGGTTGCAGCAGTCATTATTGTTTGGCGGGCCTGGGTTGGATTCGAACCCGCCATCTTAGGTGTATGTGGCTGGCGCTTTAGCTACTTGAGCCACAGGCGCCGAGCCCACATTTTTAACTAATGTGCTATATTATTTAGTTTTAACTGAGGATACTAGTAAATCTTATAATAAGTAATTCTAAATATGCAGGTGGCCACCCTGTATTTTGTGTGATTGCCTTTTATAGTATTTAGAATTTTCAGAATTTATAGGAATGGAAGAGAAAGAAATATTTCTGAGGTGTGATGAGAGTGAGCCAAGTTTTTGCAACAAATTTAACCATTAAGACTAGAAAATAGGGTTGGGTGTGTTGGAGGTCAATGTGGATTGCTTGAGCTCAGGAGTTCAAGACCAGCCTGAGCAAAATCGAGACCCTGTCTCTACTAAAACTAGAAAAAATGAGGCAAGAGGATTGCTTGAGCCTGAGTTGGAGGTTGCTGTTAGCTATAATGCCATGACATTCTACCCAGGGCGACAACTTGAGACTCTGTCTAAAAAAAAAAAAACTAGAAAATAGGGTTTTCTGAAAACAGTGTAAGAGAATTTAAGATAGCATGTTAGATATTGAAGAGTATGATAGCCTTGTACTTGATTATCATTTTAATTAAAATGTTAGTATTAGAGTATTCAAAAGTAATAGTACATTTATTTTATTTTTCTTGTTTTATCAAGAATGCATGAATAGGGCGGCGCCTGTAGCTCAGTGGGTAGGGCGCCAGCCACATACACCAGGCTGGCGGTTTCGAACCCGGCTCGGGCCTGCTAAACAATGACAGCTGCAGCAAAGAAATAGCTGGGTGTTGTGACGGGCGCCTGTAGTCCCAGCTACTTGGGAGGCTGAAGCAAGAGAATCACTTAAGCCCAAGAGTTTGAGATTGCTGTGAGCTATGACGCCATGGCACTGTACTGAGGGCAACATAGTGAGACTCTGTCTCAAAAAAAAAATGCATGAGTAAAAAGGAATTATTGATGCATGCAACAACATTGATGATTCTCAAAACATGCTAGGCAAAAGAAACTAATAAGGAGCATGATTCTATTTATATGAAACTCTGGAACAAGATGGATGTGCTGGCAAATGCCTATAGTCCTAGCTACTTGGGAGGCTCTGGCAGGAGGAATGCTTGAGGCCAGGTGTTCATGACCCTAATGTACTGTGATCATGCCTACGAAAAGCCATTGTACTCTAGCCTGGACAACACAGTGAGATGTCTACCTCTTAAAAAGGTGGATGGGTATGATGACTCATACCTATAATCCTAGCATTCTGGGAGGCTGAGGTGGGAGGATAGCTGGAGGTCAGGAGTTTAAGACCAGCCTGAGCAAGAGTGAGACCCTCTGTCTACCAAAAATAGAAAAATTAGGCCTCAGTGGTGGTGTATGCCTATAGTTTCAGCTATTTGAAAGTTTGAGGCAGGAGGATTGCTTGTGGGAGTTTGAGGTTGCAGTGAGCTATGATGATGCCACTGCAACTCCAGTCTAGGTGACAGACTGAGATTGTGTCTGAAAAATAAAATGAAAAGAAAAGCAAAAGTTCTGGGACAGGCAAAACTCATCTGTAGGCTGGGTGCAGTCCTAGCACTGGGAGGTCGAGGCAGGTAGATCACATGAGCTCAGGAGTTCGAGATCAGCCTGAGCAAGAATGAGACCTTAGAGACCCCGTCTCTACTAAAAATTAAAAACAAAAACCCAGCTGGGCTGGTGGCATGTGCTTGTAGTCCCGGAGGCTGAGGCAAGAGGCTCACTTGAGCACAGGAGTTTGAGGTGACACCATAGCACTCTACTCAGGGGGACAGAGTGAGACTGTCTCAAAACAAACACCCCCCCCCCCGAAAAACTCATCTGTAAGAGAAAGCAGATGAATGGTTAGTGGAAGTCAGAAGTGGAAGCTCAGATGAGAGGAAGAGCATTACAAAGCTGAGGTAACAGCACAAACTCTGATGTAGGAATGAACTTGGGTTCTTTGAAAGGCAGTGACTGAAGCTTAACAAAGGAGAAGTAGAGGAGTTGAAGAGGGGGTTAGGAAGTAGGCAGAAGCCAGATGATTGTAGGCTATGATATTGCTTGGGTTTAATTCAAGGTTTTGAGGTCAGTCATTGGAATGTTATCAGGTCCATTTGATGTATCAGGTCATGCATGCAAACAGGAAGCAAAGAGACCGGTGTTGATGATGGTGGTCTGGATAAAGGCAGGAGTGATTAAGTTTTATTTCTATTTATTTGTTTAGACTAGTCAAGAGCAGTAGTGAGAAGCGGGGGAAGGTAGAACAAGGAATTCAATCTCGGGTGGCGTCTGTGGCTCAGTAGGGCGCCAGCCCCATATACTGAGGGTGGTGGGTTCAAACCTGGCCCCGGCCAAACTGCAAGAAAAAAATTGCTGGGCGTTGTGGCAGGCGCCTGTAGTCCCAGCTACTCGGGAGGCTGAGGCAAGAGAATCGCCTATGCCTGGGAGTTGGAGGTTGCTGTGAGCTGTGACTCTATGGCACTCTACTGAGGGTGACAGTGAGACTCTGTCTCTAAAATAAATAAATAAAAGGAATTCAGTCTGTAACTGACTGAACAATCAGATGAGATAACACACTGCCTTTGGACCCACTATGGTTAAGTTTTAAAATGATTGGAGTTAGAAGGTATATTGTAGGTCGAGTATCAGAAATTGTGGAGGAGGAGAAGAAAAGGAAGATTTTAATGATGACTCTTAAGTTTTTGTCTTCTGAGGCAGTAGTAGTGCTATTTTTGAGGTAGGGCAAAGTTTGGGAGTGGAAATTGTTTTCTGAGATATTTAGATCTCTGTGTCCTTCAGAAAAATAGCCTTGTTCTAACTTTGCTTTTATTTTATACTATGGCTATTGGATTCACTGTTGTAGAGTGGTGGTGTATTTTTGTACACTTACCCAGAGTTGACACCTTCTTCCCTTTGTGCTAGGATGTCTGAGTTGATTGAAAAAGAAACTGAAGAATACCGTAAAGGGGATCCAGACCCATTTGATGATCGACATCCTGGTAAGACATGTGGTACTATTAAGGTTGGGTTTTTTTTTTTCTTAGAAAAGAAAATTGCTAATAGAATCATTTTCAATTGAAATAGTATCTTCTGGCTCAGGCACCTATGGCTCAAGTGGCTAAGGCTCCAGCCACATACACCTGAGCTGGTGGGTTCGAATCCAGCCTGAACCAGCCAAACAACAATGATGGCTGCCACCAAAAAAATAGCCGAGGGGAGGGGGTAGCACCTGTGGCTCAAAGGAGTAGGGCACTGGCCCCATATGCCGGAGGTGGTGGGTTCAAACCCAGCCCCGGCCAAAAACTGCAAAAAAAAAAGCCAGGCATTGTGGTGGGTGCCTATAGTCCCAGCTACTTGGGAGGCAGAGGCAGGAGAATCGCTTGAGCTCAAGAGTTGGGGGTTGCTCTGAGCTGTGATGCCACAGCACTCTACCCAGGGCAACAGCTTGAGGCACTGTCTCAAAAAAAAAAATAGTATCTTCTGTGATATGTTTTAAAACCTTTTATTTTTTAAAATATTGCTCAAACTGCGGGCAGTGAAGACTAATTTATGGGAAAACTGAAATATTTATGGTATTTATAGTTTAAATAGAACATAGCTAACTTAAAGGAATGAAATTAATTAGGTTTTTCTTTATTTAACTCATTTGGTACAAATACAGAATCTGAAGAGAAAAATATTCTTCTTTTCTGCTTTTTTAAAACCATTAAGCCTAAAGGTATTTTCCTCTGTGCCTTCTTCTTCCTAACAATAGCTACCCTTTTAGGGACAGGAAAATAAAGTTGAGAGTGTCTTCAGTGCTTTGCTTTTAGTTAATACTTGAAACCTTGAATAGTAAACAGAGTTCTTGATGTCTTTTTAGTGTCCTGATAGGTAAAATATGCTGACTTGTGTTAATTTGGTTTTATTTTGGTCTAATTAGGGCCATGACAACCTTGCCTGGTTCGGCATGGAATTTGTTATAATGCACAGTTATGTGGGAGTTGAGACTTCCTCATTTTATGTTTTCTCTCAGGTAGTGGGCAAAGCTTAAGTCTTGTATGGACCTACATTGCATATAAACTAGCCAGAAGCAGTCCTTTGGAGAGGAGTCTGAAGTTTGATGTATGGAAAGATAGTAGGAATGAGTGAGAGTTATAAAAACAAGAACATTATATATTCAGCTGAATGTTCTAGGGATTATTGCTATTTCATAAGCTTTTGTTTTCAAATGTAAATAAACTAGGCATTTCAAATTGAGGGCCTAGTTATTTATATGATGCTACTTGCTGCTCTTGTTCTAGACATCCCTACTTGTTAGCTACTTCAGAGAAAATATTCACTGTTTAACCCACATGTTCATTAAGGCAATTAACATGAAGATTATATGAAAATGGATATGAGATCACAGATGAAGTTTATGTATGGGAGTATGAAAAACATTAAAAGAGTCGATCATGATTAGTGTCATTACCTTGGAAAGATGAGATGGTAATAAAGGGAGAGACAGAGTATGCCATTTTTTTCAGTAGAAACTTAACAAAGGAATTTTTCTCTTCCCTGTCTCTTAATGTTGAACAGCATTTGTCATTGGCATAATTTCTTTTCTTCTTTTTTTTGAGACAGAGTCTCACTATTTTGCCCTCAGTAGAGCACCATGGCATCACAGCTCCCAGCAACCTCAAACTCTTGGGCTTAAGCAAGTCTCGTGCTTCTCCCTCCCAAGACAGGCACCCACGACAACATCCAGCTAATTTTTTTTATTTGTTGTTGTTGCAGTTGTCATTGTTTATCTGGCCGGCTGGGTTTAAACCCACTACCTCGGCATATGTGACTGGTACCCTAGCCACTTGAGCTATGGGTGCCACTCAACTTTTTTTTTTTTTTTTTAATTAATTCTTGGAAACAGAATCTCATTTTGTCACCTTGGATAGAGTGCTATGGTTCATAGTAACTGCAAACTCTTGGCAGGGACTACAGGCATGCACCACAACACCTGGCTAGCTTTTCCATTTTTAGTAGAGACCGGGATTTCTCTCCTGCTCAGGGTGGTCTTGAACGCCTAAGCTCAAGCATTCTATCCGCCTCAGCCTCCTGGAGTGCTAGGATCATGGGTGTGAGCCACCTTACTCAGCCTTAACTTTTCTTTTTGTGAATTACTTTGGAATACTAATTTCAGCTTGGTAAAAACTTCATGTCAGCAGCTTCATCTTACATTGTATGCTTTGACTAAAATTTTCACTTTAATGCTCTGAAGGGAAATTAAATAAAATAGATGGTATCTTTTTAAAAAGCAAAACAATAATTCTTAAAGTCATTAATTCATTATCTTATCTATGAGCTGTGTAATGGTAGACTCTAGGTCCCTGGCCTTCTCTCTTTCCATAAGAATTAGGAAGTTAAGATGGCCAAGGTTACTGTATTTGTAGGGTTGATGCTTGCTTAGTGGGATTTGCCTCCCTCACCCTGACCGAGGATGTCCTTATAGGTTTGAGGATGCATCTGCTGTTGTTACGTAGTTGAAGGAGAGGTTGGAGTTGGAGCCTGTCTTCTCCAGGCCACTCATCAAAAGAAGCATGCTTCCTACCTTTCTATGGCTGGGAAGTCCGGGGTTTTCTTTTAGGTTCCTTTATGATTCTTTTGTAGACCTTGAATATCCTTGGTGGTGCTGGTGTGGACACAATGCTCATTTATTTAATTCATTATTGCTGTGTAGGCAATATTCTAGGAGATTGGGAAAGTTAGATAGCAGTGCCTCATGTTTTTATATTGTCACTTTTAATTTTAAATAATGTTGCTTATGAAATCTCATCATCCATTACAGGTATCTTTTCTTCCTGTTTATTTTTGCTTGCATTTTATTAGTACTTAACAGCCCAGGTGCCTTTCCAGAGGTCTAAATTGCTTGATTGGGATGACTTACTCATTCCTTTGTTTGTTCCTTCCTTCTTCTTTTGGTAGGTCGAGCTGATCCAGAGTGTATGCTGGGCCACTTGCTGAGAATACTCTTCAAGAATGATGATTTCATGAATGCAGTAGGTTTGCTTCTACTTTTCTCCAGAGGTTATTAGTAAATACTACTGTTACTGTCTTTTGTAAATAGTTTGCACTTTCTCCTAAGACCTTGACAAAGTTGGGAGTAGATGGGTAGATTTTTTATTTGTTATTGATTCAGTTGAAATAAGAGCAATCAAGTCATGAACCTTTTATTTGCCCAAGTCTTGGTTGTGGCCATAATGTTTTCTCTTTTGTGGGTGCTTTGTTTAGTTGAATGTTAGTAAGGGATTCCAAGGCATCTTTGCTCATTTGTAGGTAAGGTGATTTTGAGTTTGGGAATAGAGGAGTCCTCTTGGGTTCTTGAATGGGAAAATAAGAGTGATGCATATGATATGAATCTACCCTGACACTGATGTGTGCGTTGGCCACATAGAAGGATAGAAAGGTGCTTTCTCTCTTATCTCGGGCTTTTGTGAGAAGTAATTGAGAATATATTTATTTCATGTACAGTTCCTGAACATGCTTAGTAAATTGTGGCTGTTAGGTTTGTTTTTGGAGGTGAGATAGCATGACGCTTGAAAGCATGCACTTTGAGGTGTATGTTTTGGGTTTAAATACACCTCCACAGTTCACTGACAGTTTGATCTTTGGGCGAGTGTCTTAAGCCTCTTCAAGCTTTATTTTCTCCAAGCTTATTTTCCTAGTCTGTACGATGGATATGATAGCACTTACAATGTCTTTTGTAATCCTTGTGTGAAATGAAGCTTTTAAATGCTTGTCACAGAGCATGGCAGATAATGAGGGCTCAGTGAATATTAGCTATTATCATTATCAGTATTGTATTGACTCCCAAAGTTTTTTTTTTTCTTTTGTTGCAGTTGTCGTCATTTAGCTGGCCCGGGGTGGGTTCAAAACCACCACCCTTGGTGTACATGGTCGGCGCCATAACCACTATGCCTCAGGCGCCGAGCCCCAAATTTATTTCTGTATCACCTGTATATCTTTCTAGCTTTATATCATTTCTACCTGTCTTCTGGACATTCTCACTTAGGTGTCTCCTACAGCCATCTTGAATTCCACATGTTTAACCATTTATTCCACAGTCTGCTTCTCTTTTTCTATAGCTCAGTAGTGGTGTCCTTATTTAGTAAACTAAGTTATCCTTTAACCCTTTCCAATCCAGTTTTTCTGCTACCCACATGTTCCCCAGGTCTTACTGTTTTGCTTCGTTTATTTTGTTTTGTTCTGTTTTTGAGGCAGAGTCTCACTCTGTCACCATTGGGCTCACGGCAGCTTCAAACTCTTGGTCTCAAGCTGTTGTTTTGTCTTAGCCTCCTGAGTAGCTGTACTACAGGTGCCTACCACAATGCCTGGCTAGTTTTTCTGTTTTTCAGTATAGATGAGGTCTCACTTTTGCTTAAGCTGGTCTCAAACTCCTGAACTCAGGTGATGCACTTGCCTTGGCCTCCCAGAATGCTAGGATTACAGGCGTGAGCCATCTTGTCTGGCCCCTGGCTCTTACTTATTTTGGGTGGGATAGATGTTGGTGGATTACTTGTAATTATCCTACAATTTTAAAAGAGACAAACATAAATTTGGGTTCACCTGATGATTTTATGTATTTTAGGTTACATAAAACAATTATAGTGCTTTTGTTTATTTTTGTTTATAATTATTTTGA